AATTTTTTAAAGATAAAACGAATAAAAATTAATCTTTTAAAACTTTTTTAATAAATATTTTTATTTTATAATCTAGATAGTAAAACAAAAAATTTATAAATTAATATAACTGAATTAATTAATTCAACAAATGGGTTGGGTTTCGTATTTAAGAATAGGCCCAGGAATAAATGATGTTAGCAAGGACTCTGAGCCTCGATTTAGACCTCTGCAAAGAGCAAACTTGGGCCCATTAATAATGAAGCTCTATTCTTTACTGGGGCTTCAGAATTCAGAAGACTTTGGGCCTAGGACCTGCTCTTTGCTTTTGTTGAGCTTCTCATCTTAGACTACTCATTATTACCATTGATAAAATGAATATCTCCTGATATTAAAGTGGTTTAACGTTTATTAATGATTACAAAATTTATACTCGGTATGTATAAAAATATATAGTCCGTACATAGCTATTTTTTTTTTAATATTGATTGCACAACGGAAGACAATTCTCTCCAATCCTTTATCTCACTCTACTCGCATGCTATGCAACTTAAAGTTAAGACTTCTTACTTTCAGTAAAAAAAAAAAAAATTATCATTGAGTTACTTAAGTGGTTGGCACAGAGCTACTATCTCTAAACTCTTTAATTTGTTAAAAAAAAAAAGAAAAAAAGAAAGAAAGAAAAAAAAAAACCTCTTTAGTTTATTTGAAATTTTGAACAATGGAATCAGCTAAAAGAAAATGCTGTAAAACCAAGAAGAACAAATTGATTAATCATAACTGAACAAAATTACAATCTCTAGATTTAAGGTGCCAAAAAGAAAGACAATTTGGAGAAAGCGAAAGAATCATTTATTTTATTGAGGGTTAAAAAAATAATGGTTTCTTATACTCAAGAAAACCAAGAGAAGAGAAGGCAAGCATATATTTTATTGAACAAAAAGAAATAAAACAAGTAACCTTTAAAATACATGTTAATGTTATACTATGCTGGCCATTTTAGAAGCTCCTCCAACTATGTCAGAATAATTATGTGTAATTTGTACATTTCTCCATGCATTTGATTTCAAATGGTAGTGTGCTCAATAAACTATTTTGGGATGAAAGCAATATTCCTAATTGGGAAATGATTTTTGGGACAATATTTTTATCTTACCTTTTTATACAACTTGACATATCATTTATATGATTGGTTATTTTTATTCATGTGAATCCCGTGATATTGAATGCATCAACTCATTTAATAATATGTAAAAGTTATATCAAATGGTGATATAAAAAGATCGTTCCTATAGTACTGTCCATTCTAGTATTGTCCATTCTTGATTTAGTATAGGCCAAAACTTTTGGTTGAATTAAAGAAAAATCAAAATCTATAGCGTTCAGCTATGGTAACTAGTGTCAATTCTCAAATCTTTGTGCTAATGTAACTTATTAATTATAAACTTTTACTTGTTATTTCCTTTTTATTTATAAAGATGAGTATCCCTTATACTCCATTTAATATATTTTGATTTATCCAAAAAAATATCTCCAATTGGTGCCTGGTTGAGCCACAGGAAATGGATAAAATCATAGAGCTTTGCGCCTACACTCGCCTGCTAATCAACAGATGGTTATAAACCAAGCGACAAGAAAATTTTACAATGACAATGAGAGTTTGTCATAAATACCTTGTGGTTCAAACAGAAAAATCTGCAACTCTTCTGGTTGATTGATGGAATGAATCCTAAATTTAGTATACTTATAAATAGTTTAGAAACATAATAGGATTATTTGCTTCGCTTATTATGTCATCTGTTTTTATTAGGCGAACTGTAATCACCTTCTACTATCTCTCTTTAGATAATTTGAGGCAATTATAAGTATATGCAGAAAATAGTTTTTTTGGTTGCTGATTTAAAGATAAAATGCACATTTTTTTGTAAGTTACAGTGGAACCCTTAAATCACACCATTGTTTGGACTATTTAGTTTCAAAAAGTATTTTATCTATTTAAAAAATTTATTGTTTTACCATTCAAATTATATATCAAGAATTCTTAAATGAAAAATAGTTACTAATATCAAGAAATCCTCTCTTATTCAAAGATTAATATTTTACAATTTAAAATAGTTTAAACAATAAAATATTCATTCATTATTTAAATCAAACAAGTTCATTATTTTATTTTATAAAAAGAAGAAAAAAAGAAGAGAAGGAACTTTCGTGACTCGTACTCATTGCAACTGGAATGATATACTATTAGAATCCATTAAGGATCCGTTTGCACTAACGAGAGGTTGGATCAAGTGGTAAGCAGCATGTTTCAGTTTAAGTAAGATCTCGAGTTCGAGTCCTTGTGTATGCAGTAATCCCCGTTGAAAAACTCACCCACCATTTCCAGATGCGCGACGCGGGTCGGGTCCGAATTATTCGAGACGAAGCCCCAGATACCGAACGGAAAATTAAAAAAAAAAAATTAAGGATCCGTTTGCTGCAGTTTATAAGAGTTTTAATTTTTTTACGCTATTTATATTTCATAAATTTAAATTTTTTTAAAAAATTTATATTTTTAAATATTTTTTTAACTTTAAAAGATTCTAAAGAATAAAAGATCAAAAACTTTAAATTCAAGTTTTCCATAAACTTTTTTTTATTCACTTTTTTCTATATCTAAAAATAATTTTTAAATTTTTTCTTTAATAAAAATTTAAACTGATTATTCATAAATAATATATAAAAAAATAAAAATAAAAATTTGAACAAGTTGCACCAAATATGCCTTAAGTGAACCTTTTGGGCTGCCGTTATTAACTGGTCACCGTTTCATCATTTCCAGTACATCCATTCCATACCAATACCCATTTGAAGGCAAATGGCAAAATCTTGTGAGGCTGAGGTATACATAAGCCCACACGGAAGGGGAAAGGAACAGAAACTTGAAATGGACGGGAACACCAATTAGAGAAGAGGTAAGTGAGTCTGAAATTAGGCCTAATGGGCCCATTTCCGATTCTAATATCATTTCAATCAAAATCCATTACTTGTAATTTTTTTTAAAAATTCCATTTAATAATATCATAAACAAAATGGAGATCTTTTTAATTTGAACTATAATATAAAAATTGAAAATATATTTATTATATATATTTATTATTATTTTATATAAAAAATTATAAATTTAAACTTTATTTTTTACAACAATATTACGTGAAATATTTTAACTAAAAAATTAATAAAAATAAAATTAATTTTTATTTTTTAATATAAATTAATAAAAAATATATATAATAAATACATTAAAATTTAAAAAATCAAGATATCCAATCATAATTATATCTTACGTAAATACCAATTAAAAACTTATTTAATAAATAATTATAATAGACATTTTGGCACTACAACATTTTAATTTTAATTTTAATTTTTTTTAAAATAAATATAATATTGAATTAAATGATGCTATACAAATACAACTCAACTACTAACTAACTAGCAGCTAAAATTGCTAATTATTAGCACCGTAAAAGGGGCCTTCCCAACATCACATCAGATTGATTGACCTGCATGTAAATCTCATCGGACCCATTCAATATAAAAAAAGGAAAAAAATTGTCAGACGGTTGTGATTGGATCCAACGGTTGATATCACATTCTAAACGGAAACAGAGCTCAGGGCCCAGGCGGGCCCAGTGATTTTGATTAGGGGGAGAGTGTTTGATTGGACCCAAAAACAGTCTCATCCCTGTCTCGAAATCTCGGTTTCCATGGTCCCTACTCTCCACATGGGAAGCTTATGGTGAAGTTTACCATCATTTTCCCCTCCACGGCGTACGTTAGCCTGTCAGAGCTCAATGAGAGTTAACCTTTGATGTGATGTGGGATGGGACCCATAAGTATCAAAAGGCCCAAAAAAAAGATAGAGAGCGTGGAGAATCGTGTGATCTGATGAACTGCACTTGGGGAGGTGGGGGTGGGTGTGGGTGTGGGGTGGGAAAAGTTATGATGTTCGGTGCGTCGGGAAACAGCTCCCCCAGCGCTGTTTCCGCGCGCTCCTCCTTGAGACTGCGACGCGTGTGCCAAGTGGATTGGTTTCTCATCTAGTGGGGTGGCTGAGGAGTCGCAGTCACCGTATAGTGTTGTTGCCTTATTGGATAGGTAACTGTGAGTTTACAAATGTAAGTATTTCTGTCTTTGCCTCAATGTCTAGTCTATGTTTAGCCAGAATTTGGGTCGCACTGCTATGCTCTCTCAATTCTCAGAGTCTCCACCTAACTTTGTCTTAAATTTAGTAGGTGTGTGTATATATATATATATTTTAAATTTTATCCTACCGAAACTGGATTTCACTTCTTTATTTAAAAATGAAAAGGCCTCCAACATTTGTATTGTGTTATGGGAATAGATTTTTTTTTTTTTTTTGGCAGCCAATGTTCGATGGTCCACTTAAAAATATCAGTTTAGGATTGGAAAAGACAAATTTCTTAAACATTATTGAGTCAGGCGACATATAATTATCTTTATATGATATTTTTATCTTTTCTTGTTTAAACTAATGTTTAAGCGGCATATATAATTCTCTTATTTTAAAGAGTGATTCAATTGATAGAAAGATTAATTCCTAAAGAAATGATTTAAT